CTTTTTCCCGCCCACGAATGTTTCTTCCCCCCCCCCCCGATTCTCTCCCCCATCCCACTGTTGGAGGGGGGATGTGAGCGAACAGCTATGTGGTGTTTAGCTGCCTGCCGGGTTAAACCACAATACTGGTTTAACTCCTTTTCAGGATCTGAAAGAAGAGTCTGAAAGAATCCACCACATAAATATGCTAATTTGCACTCCAGGACGGCTTCTACAGCACATGGATGAAACTTCATATTTCTATGCATCTGATCTGCAAATGTTGAGTAAGTTTTTTTTAAGTACTTGAAAGTACTCAGAAATATCTTGTAACAGTTCATAATTGTGTGGAGCACTTCCCTGGGTAAAAAGTTTATCCTAGTCATGGTATGTAGGTGAAATGGCATTTAAGTTCACATGTGTACAAATTAAAATAGAAAACAAGCAAAGCTCTTTCTTGTGTGTACTTTTTCTCAAACAGTTGCTGAGCATGTCTTCCTTAGGAAAGTAAGAACCAAGTAGGTGAGTTAGTAAGGAACCCAGAACCAAATGTAGTGTCCCATATAATCCGTTAGATCTGTCTTGGCTAACGCTGGCCTTTCCTTTCTGGCTATGGCTCTTGTGTTTTTCCTGACATGATAATTAACTATATGGAATATCTATTGCAGTGTGTGTATTTTGGGCCAGTTCTAGAAAACACTTTTCTTTGAATTTTAAGACAGGTTGCTGCTCCTTCCATTGTTTTATTAGCATTGTTAACGTTGTTTCTTTTCATCCTTCCAACCTGAACAAAAATTTCAGTGTAATGAAAATGTTTGCCTGCCACTAAGAACTGCATAAACTTTAGCATAGCTTGAGGAACTTAGAAGCAATTAAGAAGCTAATGAAGCTGATAAAATGTGAAATTATGCTTGCTACACTTAGTACAATTCATGGCAGTTAGACAAGAATTGCACTAAATGTAGGCCCTTTTCTTAAAGCTTTGTCTCTGTGCTGCTCTGTTTATTCCCTATGTTTCAATGCTAAATTCAGCTTAGGTACAGGACAGTCTGTTTTTCTCTGTCATGAATAGTACAGCACTGTTTTATATTCCATGCTTTTGTTTCAGTAATAGGACAGTGAGTTTGCAATTTGCAGTCTGTCTGCAAATTGCTGAACTGTTTACTTGAAATGCTGATCTTTTATGCTTCAGCATGTGAAACTGAGGGCTGTAGTGCATAGATTATGGGAAATGCTATGACTTCTATTGCAGTTTTTTAAAAAACATTTTATGGACTACATGAATATCTAAAGAGAATGCTGTCATATACAGTAATTAAGCTAATCTCTGCAGTTCAAATAGGCATGGATTTTTGTACCATATGGATTTGATGTATGATTTTTTTTTTTAAATATAAATAAAGCTAAAACCAAATTTTCTCAAACCTATCTCTCAATTCAGTTCTTGATGAAGCTGATAGAATTCTAGACATGGGGTTTGCTGATACAATGAATGCAATCATAGAAAATCTACCTAAGAAACGCCAGACCTTGCTTTTTTCTGCGACACAAACAAAATCAGTGAAGGATCTTGCACGGCTGAGTCTGAAAGATCCGGAATATGTTTGGGTTCATGAGAGAGCCAAATTCAGGTATGTCGGGATAATTTTTTTTGTCCTGGAGGGTTTAAACAGATGGTGATCCTACTTAACTGCTTCTCTGACTGTCGGTTCCCTGAATCAGAAGTTACGTCGTGCATCCTCCTTCCTGCAGTGTCTGATCCTGTTGAGTGCCTTCCTGAAAGCAAGGAATTTCCAGATACTAGGGTACTAGTTCTGACTGATTCATTACTGGGAGGCTGAACCTGCACTTTCCTTGTGGCTCCCCAGGCAGATTCGCAGACTGGAAATTTTATTCCTCAGGAGCAAGCCCCAGAGTGGGTTATAGCCTGGATGGAGTAGTGTCCTGGCTGTAGCACTCGCTTCTGAATTGCTACTTTTTTGTTGTTTGGCTTCCTTACCTCCTGTGTGTGCATACTTACTGTGCAGAACCACCAGATGTGTTTCACGAATACAATTCTTCTGTGTGCTGTTGATAAATCTGGCTTTCCAAGGAAATGCTACTCTACTGGTAAAGTGCAGAATGACAGTCCTGTTTGTGTATTCAATATTAGGTGCCCAAAGGAAAGCATGTGGCAGTAGAATCATAGAATAGTTGGGGTTGGAAGGGACCTCTAAAGGTCACCTAGTCCAATCCCCCTGCCATGGGCAGGGACATCTTCAACTAGATCAGGTTGCTCAGAGCCCCGTCCAACCTGACCTGGAATGTTTCCAGGGATGGAGCATCCACCACCTCTCTGGGCAACCTGTGCCAGTGTTTCACCAATTAGTCCATGTGCAGTAAGTCTTGTGGCTACCTGATATGCTGGGTTTACTGTGCACATGAAATAAATTTGTCATGCCATACAGTCTGGATCGGAATGGGAAGGCCTTGTGAGAAGTGAAGTATGTGGTCTGCCAAGCTCAAAAAATTTAATGTGTCACTAAATGAAAAAAAAAAAAAGCATGTTGTTTTTTGGCACTTTGTTTTTTTCTTTTGAGTTCTAAGTGAAGAACGTTATTTAATATTTTGCATTTCTGTGGGTTCTATCATCTAAGTGTCAAATTGCTTATGAACATGTATGATTTTTTTTTTTCCTGCTTTTCTATGAAGTATGCATATATTTCCATATGTAAGATGCAGGAGAAAGGTGAAGCAGTGATAAAAATGGCTTTCCCAAGAGCAAACGAGAAATCAGCAAGATGAACAGCAGAACCAGATTGAATCCTGAGGCAGTTTTAACTATGTGATTTGATTATCTCTGTATTGTACTGCAAATACCTTTTTTTAATTAGTCATACTATCAAAGGCATCTTAAATAAGCATGATTGCCAGAAAAAATTGTGTGGTTAATATCCTCTTAGCAGAAGAGAATGTACAAACCTAGTATGTAGTCTTCGTTTTGAGGACTGACTATACATCTGTTTCACAGATCTCACATTTTTTGTGAAGTCTATTTTAAATTACATTTAATTTTTTTAAAGTATTTGGGAGACTGCAATTAGATAATAAACAGAATCAAAAAAAGGAAAGTATTCATTTGTTTTAGAGTTTACTGCCTTAGTATACAGTAGGTTATTGCCTTATGAAAACAGTTTCCTGTGAAAGACTTACAAAACAAAAGGTGCTGTGGCATAATTCAAATTGACTAGCAGAATAAAAACTGGAGTAGTGTCCTGTAATTTCATCCTCCCAAGTGGTACCTTCAATAAAATAGTTTTGAATACCTTTGGTCTGTTTAGGGTGAAGCAGAGGAACTGTGAGAGATGAGCATTTAGATGTATTTCAAGGAGAAATATGCCAAAGATTTTTTTTTTTTTTTAGTTATTTTATTTTGTAAAGAACGGAAAGGTGAGTTAAGATGACAATTCAGAGCTTTACAAAGTCACTTTGCATGTCATGGTGTAATCAGTAGAAGTACATCAATGCTCATTTTTTGTGTGTGATTAGACTATGCTTTGACATTGCCTTAAGCACAAATGATGCTTTAATAGGACTAATAAACAAAATTGCATTTTAAGTCAAGGCAATTTGAATGTCACTGCTTAGACATGGAAAGAGTTTGGCTTGCTAGTAGTGAATGAATTTAGAAGTAATGTCAAAAGTTGTACTCTCCTCCCCACTGGCTTTTAGTAAGGAAATAGATTCATCTTTCAAGAGTAGCTTTCTAGTGGAGCTGCTAAGACTTGTTCCTCAAAGTGGGAGAACATTCCAGCCTGACTTTTTTTTTCTCCCCCCTCCCCCCCTTCTCCTTTTTCTGGGTAATTGTCAGACACTCTTGACTTAAAAGAAAGCACAAGCAGGTCTGTAGGTATTGTATGCCTGTATATTCTCTCTCTTCCCTTCTTTTCTTTCTCATTTTAATGTTATGGGAACTAAGGGTATCTAAATGTACTTTTTGGTTTTTGTTTTTTTTTTTTAGTACCCCGGCAACTTTGGATCAGAACTATGCTGTTTGTGAGCTTCAGCAAAAAGTAAACGTGTTATACTCTTTCCTGAGAAGTCACTTGAAAAAGAAGAGCATTGTGTTTTTTGCAAGCTGTAAAGAGGTATGGCTATTCCCTCCCCCTCCCCCGTACCATTTTAAAACTGTTAAAATTAAGATATTAATGTAGATGTCAAGGCACCAGAGAGGTGAGATTCTGGGCTAGTTTGCAACAGGAAATTGGGGGAGACACCTACTCCTGCAGGCATGTCATGCAGGGCCTGGCTGCCAGGAAGCTCAGTGACCCAGGCTCGATGCAGGAAGGTCCTGGAGATCTCGGTGTACTCAGCCATTTTTGTGCTCTGCTGTTAAAAATGAATGCTAAAAGTTATGTCACTAAGGGCCAGCTGTTTCAGTTTTGTCTCATACTACATTTCGTAGTTGGGTTACAGTGTATTTTAATAGTTGTCCCTACTTTCTTTACAAGCTTTTAAATCTGCCTATATAAGAAATTGTAATTGTGAAATAGTGCAGGGAAGGTTTTTTCTTATGGTTATATAGGAAGTAGTCGTTCAAATACCTACTTGTATAAATGTCCTGGGACTGTTCTGTTGAAGTTCTTTGTATGTGTTTGTATGGTACAGGTATTTATTCCTGTAACTACTGCATGTATTGAATATTTTACAACATACAATGGTGTAGTAAATATTCTTTGCTGTTCTTCCACTTGTGCAAGAGGGTACAATATTTTTGTTGTTCTGCAGTTGGCTGGTGCGTACAGTGAGGTGGTAGGCTTAGTTGTACAGAAATTCTGAGCTGCAGCTGTACTGCAATATACGCAGTTTCTGTAACTATTTTCTTAAAAAAAATTAGCTGCCTGCTATAAAATAATGCTGCATCATGGTACTGTATGTAAGAGTAAACAGACTGCTTTTATAAGAGAAGCTGTTGAAGCTTGAAATAGTAAACCAAGACTGTGTAGACTGCTTTGAGTGCAAGCATAAGACACTGTACCCCCCCAGTATTGTCTAGAAGCAGTGCTTCTGGTGGACTTTTGATACTTCAGTCCCTTGCATACAACCTAGCTAGTCATGTTCCAAGTCGTTCTTGCTGTTACCTGCTCTCGTTCCTTTTAGGAAATGCCATCAAAAAGCATGCCAATCTTGTGCCACAGTTCATTTCCTCTTTCAGTACCCGGGCGTGTGACAAAGTCTCAAAATAGCATCTCTTGTCTCTGATGTGGAGAAAAGTGTGTTTTATTTGATGTGCTAAGTCAGTTTCTATATGCTGGACATGATCTTAACAAGTTTAACATTGCATGGTAATTTTTTTTCTCTCCCTAATTTGTTGGGTAGGTCCAGTATCTATTCAGAGTGTTCTGTAAGCTACAGCCTGGTCTTCCTGTACTGGCACTCCATGGCAAGCAGCATCAGATGAAGAGAATGGAAGTCTACACTTGTTTTGTTCGGAAAAAGGCAGCAGTACTTTTTGCTACAGATATTGCAGCTCGCGGCCTGGGTATGTACCCGCAGAAGCAATAGTTATTCACAAAGTGATGGTCTAACCCTATTGAGACTTTATCAGTGATAGTATGTGCTGAAGACCAACCTGATTTGTAAGAAATGAAGCTGTAGTTTGCTTAAGAGCTCATTAGGGTATCTCAGAAGAGATATGCTTCTTAGAGTTCTGCTGTTTCTTTACTGAAGAGGCCCACTTCATTTGTGCTTAGTTTTTCTTTTTGTCCCAGAAGGATCTACGTTGTCACCAGTTTTGTAATGGCATTTGTTAGTGAGGTAGTCAGTGGAAGCTGTCTTTTATTTGTTTGTCTGTTTGTTTGTTTGTTTATTTAAGTCTGTAGACAATCTAGTTTTTCCAGCCATGTTCTATGACAAATATCTGGAACGAGAGAAAATGGAAGTAGTGATGTATTTGCTTACTACATGCCTTAAGGCAAGATTTCAGCAGTGCCTGTATCCTGTGGGTTATTCCAAAGGATATGAAAAACTACTAACCTGTCAGGATGTGGAAATGAAAACCTGAAGAAATTTTAATGTCTGAACTATGAATGGCATTATAAGACTGTATTCTTAAGGAGGCAGAAAAATAGATGAGGGAAAAAGCAAGACTATTGGTACCTGTTTTGGCTTGACTTTCTTTCCTCTGGTCATTACCTGCTGAATTATGATTTACTTCTTTATATTTTCAGTGGATACTTTGGACTTTTTTTTTTTTGTTTTTTAGTACTTGGGGGCATTTTGGTATGACACGAGACTGTTTTCAGGAGTCTACTCGTTCTTCTTTCAGATAGCAAACTCCGTTGTCCAAAATTTAAGGTTTTGTCAATATGCTACAAAAGGAAGGAAGGTACTGTAAAAACTGAAGGCAGAAATGAAAACTGTTTATCATACCTTCTACACTGCTGAAATCTCACTATTGAGGATCTAATGTGGGTATGGTTGTTTGGGTTTAGAGTGTAGGTATAATTGTGGAATACAGTGTAGCTACAGACTTGGTGAGGAAGTAACACAAACTTACTCAAATGCAAAGCATGCTGCTGCCGAATGAAGTGCAGCAGTTAGAAAATGCTAATTAATAATACGATTCACATTCAATGTTGGACTTCTTTGTCAGGCTTGGTCACCCCCTCCCGTCTTTTGGAGGGACTATGGTATTTCTGTATGTGGACAGCTGAAGTAGTGCTGTCTTGCCGCAGCTAACTTCAAACCCCGGTGGTGTAGGATATTGATACTGTAGGTGAAAAGTGGGTCAGATATTGTTATTTAATTATTAAATGTAGTAGTGTTTTATTATCTGTGTGACACAAAGCATGTCTGTTTTTGTCAAGTGTGAAATTATGTTCCATTCAGTATACTGTCATAATTTAGGAAATGAAGACACCATTAATTTTAGCTTTCTTTGATGAAGAGGATGATTGTTTATGTTATGCTAATACAAGCAATTAATTTTATTTTTATTTCAGAGGTTGCACCTAATGTCTGTAAATTGGTCTAAATGATGGTTCTCACAGGAATTAATGGTCCAAAATAATATGTTACTCTTGAATAGAAGGATTTTGAGTACAGTGAGCTTAAATTTTGACTTTTTTTTCTTTACACAGATTTTCCAGCGGTGAACTGGGTCATTCAGTTTGATTGTCCAGAAGATGCAAACACATACATCCACAGAGTGGGAAGAACAGCCAGGTTTGTTTCCACTTTTCATTAATATTTTAATGTTTAAAACTAGATCACTATAGGGACAGATAATTGGCTAAAGACTCACTTGAAAAAATCAAGAAATAAATTGGAAAGAAAGAAGGGCTGTTATCACCAAAAGACCCTTTTGATTACTTAAGAGTAATGGTTTGGCTTAATCATTTCTTAGTAAGCTTTACAGGCTCCTTACAGGAGACAGAAAAAATATGCCCAGTTGTTTAATCTGATCAGGGAAGATTAATAGTGAGGAAACAAAAATCTTCTTTTGCATTTGGCAGGATTACCTCAAAGGCTGAGTTGAGAATGTTTGTGGGTGGAAAAGGTTGTTTTGCCACTGCCATTTATAGATACATAAGGCTTTAGACTGTGCATCCAATTTCTTTGTGTCATTGAAGACTCTTCAAAAGAATGGAAATATTTCTTCCTTATTTTAATTTGGGGAGGTAGGAATCAAATAATGTTAATTACAGGTTAAATTTTTCATCTTCTAAGTCTTTTGTAGAATTATATTCTTAGGGATAGCTTTAGTTAAAATATTTGTGGCTAAGCCTTTATGACAGAAGGGAGTTACCCAGATACATTATTGCAAACCTTGTCCTTGATCTCTGAAGTAGATTTTTAAGAGAAACAGAAGTTGTTATTGCGTATAATTAAGTAGATCAAAAACTTTATGCAGTTATCTGAAGGACGAAATGCAAGACCTGGCATTATATCTTGTACTTAATTTAATTTTTTTGCAGTAGGGTTGTATCATCTTTGTTGCAATATAGTTGGAAGTCAAACCTAATGACAGAACAGTTTCTTAGAATAGGACTTCAGCACTCTGCACTACAGGAGTTTGAAATCTGTCTTTCTGGATCAGATGGCATTAAATTTTGGTGACTGTAATAGGAGTGTGTACTTCCAGCTCTCTTTCAGAATGTGGAAGTTCTAGCCATGTTTTCATTGTAATTGGTAATGCTTCTGCCCCATTCTGTCCTGTGTTCTCCATTTTCCTATCTGCCTCTTATAAAGAAGGGAATAATAGATTTTTAAATGCTTTTGGAAAAAGCTGTCTATAAACAAAATAAGTGAATGTTACATGTAATTAGATAAAACATGTAGCTATTTGGCTAAATTCAAATCTAGATGTAATATCATGCATCCTAATTGAGAGAAAAGGATATAGGCTTAGTTAGAATTCTGTGGTGTGGTTTGGTTGTTTTTTGTGGTTTTTTTTTTGGTGGGGCCCCCCCCCTTTTTTTTTTTAATCCTGTGTGGCTTCCACAGAAGGCTTGTAATTTTGTCATTATGGCATACTGAACCTCAGTCAGACCTAAAGCCTATATAAAGTTCTGGAAATACCACAGATAAAAACTGTAGAGCAAAAAGATGTATTCTAAATAATGTGGAAGGGAAAACAATGTATTTGGCACTGTTTAATTGACAGTTTCTGGGAGGCTTGTTGAGCTCTTCCCGAGCTGTGTCACTGAGTTAAAGCACCTCCCTGGAGTTACAATCCTCAGCCTTGTCCCAATTCTCATTAGCTGCTGAGAAGAGCAATTGTAAGTAGGTTTAGAGAGGGGAAGCAGCTACATAAAGACAAATAACTCCCCTTTCCCACAATGCTTTTCGTAAAATGTCACTCTGATGAGGATGTTAGTCTTGCAACCTTAAGGGTCTGTCTTCAGCGGCCTCTTAAATACGACCTTCTGTGATTGCTTGAGGGACAAATTTAGGGAGAAAATTGGGGCAGAGAGCCTGTCCTGTAGGCCATGGGCTGTGCCGGATGCCTGCCCCTTGCTTCACCGGGCTGTCATTTGCGTTCCCCTTTATGTGAATTTTTCAGTAGCCAGACCTTACTGAAATTGGTAGTATGTCTGAACAAGTTGTTTGAGCTGGCAGGGTGGTGGCTGATATTGAAAGCAAATTCCTTCTGTAGGAAAAGCTTTATGGGTATTTTCTGTCTCTTAATCTGATACAAAGATTAAGGAAGGTTCTGCCTACACTGGGCTTTCACTTTGGAGAAACATAGAAGCGCTCTCTGTCCTTAAAGTAAAGCAGTCCTGGAAAGTGATTTGCTTAGTGAACTTAACAGCATGAAAGAAATCTTTGAAAATGAAACAAGGGAGAGGTTTAATAGTTTTAAGTAAATACTGTGCACTGAGTAAATATGCTAATGCAATTTTAGATGTGGGTAATTGAGAATGTACTTCCCAGTGAACTCTTAAGTGTTGAGTAGGAAACTTCACTTGTTTTCAGCAGCTTCAGTTAGTATGAGAAGCTCGTGTTTCTTCTAGAAACTTGATAAAAATGAACTGAACTGCAGTTTAGTAGTCCTCATTAATGAGGTTAGAGATAATTACAAATTTTCATGGGTTATGAGAGTGTATAATTGCATGGAATGAAAGCTAAATTAAATATCTCGGCTAATTAAGAGGCTGTGTTAAACTGTAATTAAAACTGGGATGCCAAATACTGTTTACTTTTGAACACACAAATCATTTTGTGATACAAAAGTAAGTATGAAAGTCAAGAGAGAAATTATTTTGGGGATGGGGCTGAAAAACCTTTGACTAGCAATCGTGGATGTGTTCCCATATTGTTTTACAGTTTTGCAAAACCTTATCTAAGATGAAAGATAATGATTGATTTTTAAGTGGATAAGACCACCGTGTTCCCTAAGTAGCATTTCACTTGCATTTCATCCTACTGAAGAACATAAATTGCAACTCCTGCATTTTTGATTTATGGTAAAGTAAGATCAAGAAAATCTGGGTGTTGTCCAGTAATGCTTTTACTTTGTAGTAGAATTGGCATATCTTGATTTTCTTTTTTTTTTTCCCCAACTTGAAAGGTATGCTACGATTGGAGTGATTGGAAACTGTTTTTTCCAACTGCATTTTAAAGTATTTATTTAAAGTCTTAGCTAGTTCGGTAACAGAATTTCTAAAATACTGACAATATCATGGCCATGCCCATAAATATTTTTAGCTATATTTTTGTCAAACAATCTCTTAGCAAAGTCTGTAATTTAAAATACTAGATCACAGTGTTTTCCTGTGGGTTTTAGTTTCAAAAATTCTAAGTAAATAAGAGCTACTTGTCGCAATTGTCTGCAAAACTTATTTCTCCTGGGTTTTAATTTCAATTGATGCCTTCTGTTCTGTAGCCTATGAAGCCTACAGTTGAAAATATTCTTTGATCAATTTTGAGAAACGTTACAGTGCCACTAGGGGACAGCAGAAGATAATAATTTCTGAAGCACACTGATACTCACTTTTTTGCCCCAACTGTTTTTCCAAACATAATTTGTAAGTTGTATGGTGTCGTGGTTTAACCTCAGTCGGCAACTGAGCACCACACAGCCGCTGCTCACTCCCTCCCCCCCGCCCCCGGTGGGATGGGGGAGAGAATTGGAAGAGCACAAGTGAGAAAACTCATGGGT